TGTGCCAGACCCTGTATATAGGAACTCAGTAAATGCAGGCTTCTTCCCTTCTGGCTTTGCAGAGGGCTTTTCCTACTTGTCCTCCCCAGTGGGGCATGTATGCTTACTTGCATACATGTGCAGATGCCCATGATAGTGCATAGCTGCCTGGACACATACTGAGTCAGAAATAGAGACTTTCTAATCAACATCTTCCTAAGTCTTTTCATTAGCTTCCAGTTCTTGTTCTCTGGGTCAGTGGGAACCCCCAGGTCCAGACTTGGGTCATGACCTCCCCAGGCTCCAGGCACAGTGCTAAAGGTATCTGCTGGATGGGAAAGGATCCCAGGGAGCCTGGGTGTTTCCTCCTCAAATCCTTCCCGCCATCAGCCAGGCCCTTACCTCCCTCCCTCCCTGCCAGGACAACCTGTCTGCACCACAGCTGCTGTGGAAGAGATAGGCAGCCTGGATTATCAGGCCAGACAAGGCTCCTTGTGATAGTTCCCTGCCCCCACACCCTTTCAAGCCAAGGTACCAGAGCCTTTAACCCTCTCTGTTCTGGGCCCTGAGGGCTAGGGACTGGAAATAGCAGAAAAGGGAGGTAGGCCCATGTCCCCCATACCCAGTTCTGAAGGTTGGAGCATAAGAAAGCAGGTAGCAGCATTACTTGTGTCCTCCAGGAGCCCAGTCTGCATGCTGGGCCCTCTTATGCCCAATCCTAGGTCCATGACAGCCCAGAGTGAGGGGGGACAGCCTGGGCAGGCCTTTAAGGGTTTAGACAAAAGGCTCTATACCACCCAGTCCCCCTTCCTGATGTTCCCGGCTCTGGGGGTGGAGACTTGGATCTCTCCACTCTGAGTCCATTGGCTTTAGTGCAAATGCATCACCCCTCCCTCCACCCCCAAATTACTGCCCCTTTCTCCTCTCCAAGACTCTTTCAGCAAGGCCTCTGCCTGTTTTCTTGCTGACTGCCTTCCCCTGCCCCTCCGGTCATCTCTGCTTAGCCACTGTCCCTGACATTAAAGCTAACCAGGACTATCTCCTAGTTGGGCCCCACGCGGCCACCCAGGCCTCCGTTTCCTGAAGGTCAGCAGGAACTAAGTAAAAAGAGCAGGAGCCTCAGAGTCTGGGAGTCTGGCTTCCAGTCCTGGCTCAGACACTGTGTGACCTTGGGCAAGTTCCTTCACTTCCATGCTTCTCAGTTTCTTCATTTTATAAAATAGAGGGCAGGGCTTTTTTTCACAGGGTTGACTAAGAGATTAAATGAGTACAACACATATATCATTTTAGTAATCAGTTGGAAAATAAAATTTACATTTAAATAACTCCTGCAAGAGGGCTTTATAAGCTAGCTATCAAGCAAATAATATCAGCTAATACATGCTAAGTGCTCATGAAGTGCCATGCTTGATACTAACATGAACTCTGTCATTTAGTCATTATAATATCCCCAACTATACACAGCCCCAGGCTCAATCCTCGAACCCCTTCTCTTAACACTTGCATTTATTCCTTTGTTGATCTCATTTTGTCCCATGGCATTAAATACTGTCAATACACTGAGACTAATCCATATGTCTCTCCCTGTCTCCTAATTTGTAGAATGAATCTCCTACTTGCCAATTTCTCTAATAGGTACCTTAGACTTAACATGTCCAAAACTGAGGTCCTGAACCCACCTCAAATCTGCTCCTTCAACTGTTTTTCCCATGTGTATATAAAATAGCAACTTCATTCTTCCAGACAGGCCCAAAACCATGGAGGCAATTTATTTATTTATTTTAATTTTATTTTTCAATTATGGTTTACACTCAATGTTATTTTGTATTAGTTTCAGGTGTACCACATAGTGGTTAGGCAATCACATACTTTACAAAGCAGCCCCTCAATATTTCTAGTCTAAGTACCATACATAATTAATTTTATTATTATTGACTATATTCCCTATGCTGTAGTTTACATCCTCATGACTGTTTTATAAATACCAATACATACTTCTTAATTTATTCATCTTTTTCATCCAGTCCTCCAAACTCCTTCTCTGTATCTATGAATCTGTTTCAATTGTTTGTTCATTTATTTTGTTTTTTAGATTCCACATACAAATCATATGGTATCTGTCTTACTCTGACTTATTTTACTTAGCATAATATCCTCTAGGTCCATCCATGCTGTTGTAAATAGTGATTTCATTCTTTTTTATGGCCAAGTAATATTTCATGAGACAACTTATTTTTTACAAATATTTATTTATTTTTATAGAGAGAAGGGAGGGAGACAGAGGAGAGGAACACTGATTGGTTGCCTCTTGCACACCCGCAACTGGGGACCTGGCCTGCAACCCAGGCGTGTGCCCTAATTGGGAATCGAACTAGTGATCCTTTGGTTCACAGTCCAGCACTCAATCCATTGAGCCACACCAGCCAGGGTAGCAATTTATTTTTGAATTAGCTTTTTATTGAAGTATAACATTCGTTCATAAAATACATGACTCAGAAGTGAATCATTGCAAAATGAACACACTCATGTAACAAACTACTCAGATTAAGAAAGAGAACATGTCCCTGGCTAGGGTAGCTCAGTTGCTTAGAGTGTCATCTGAATATGCCAAAGTGGTGGGATCAGTTCCCAGTCAGAGCACAAACAAGAATCAACCAAGGAATGCATAAATTAAGTGGAACAACAATTTGATGTCTCTCTCTCATCCCTTCTCTCTCTAAATAAATACTAAAATAAAATAAAAAAGAGAATGTCCCCAGACATTCCCAGGAGCCTACTGTGTGTCCCTTCGTAGTCACAACCCCCTTCCCCTCCAAAGGTGACCTTCTATCATGACTTCTAATTCCGTAGATTAGCTTTGCCTGCTTTTTGGACTTCATATAATGAACTGATATGCATGTGTTACTTTATATCTGGCTTCTTTCTCTCAACGCTGGGAGATTCATTCTAGCTGTTGCATACATCAATAATTTATTTTCATTATTGTGTAGTATTTAATTTCTTGAATATACTATACTTTATTCATGATACCATTGGTAAACATTTGGATTCTTTGAATTTGAGGAGTATAATTCATAATGTTGCTACGGATATTCTCGCATGTATCGTTCTGCTGGAAGTGGAATGGATGGGTCAAAGCCTATGCTTACTTTCAGCTGTACTGCATTCTGTCAGATTTCCAAAATGGTTGTATCGATATACACCTCTATCAGCAGCGTATGAAAGTTCCAATTGCTCCACATCCTCATCTACACTTGGTATTTTTCCATTTTAATCATTTTGGTGGGTGTGTAGTGATGTCTCATCCTGGTTTTAATTTATATTTCCCTGGTGATGAATGAAATTATGCATGTTATTCTCACTATCCGTTGCTGTGTTATAAATCATCCCTAAACATGAAAGCTTAAACAGCTGACAGTCCTTTTACTATCTTCCACAGTTTCAGGGGTCAGGATTTCAGCAGGTAAGCTGGGCAGAACTGGCTTGGGGTCTGTCATGCAGATGCAGTCAGATGGCGGCTGGAGGAGCTGAGGGCTGGCCAGGCATCTCTCTTCATGTAGGTCAGGGCCTATCCATGTGTCTGCCTGCTTGGACTTCCTCACAGCACAGTGGCCTCAGAAGAGTCAGACTGCTTGTACAGTGGTTGAAGCTTTAAAGACAGTACTCTTGCCCTGGCTGCATTTATGTTTCTCTCTCTCTTTCTCCCTCCTTCCCTGCTCCCCAAAAATAAATAAATAAAATTTTAAAAAAAATCTTAAGGAAAAAAAGACAGTATTTCAACTAACAGAGCAGAAGTTACATTGTCATGATCTAGCTTTGGAACTCACATAGCATCAATTCTATCATATTTAACTGACTTAGTCACAAAAGACAACTTAGTTTCAAGGGAAGAAGACATATGCTCTGCATCTAATTGGAAGGATTGTTGACGACACATTATAAGAGAAACAAGTGGGTCCTGCTGATGTGCCTCAGTGGGCTGAATGTCAGCCTGTGAATCTAAAGGTCACTGGTTTGATTCCTGGTCAGGGCACATTCCTGGGTTGTGGGCCAGGTCTCTGGTTGGGGGTGCTCTGGAGGCAACCAATCAACATTTCTCTCCCTCCCTTCCCCTCTCTCTGAAAAATAAAGTCTTAATGGAAAAAAAAAAATACAATAAAGATCAAAGTTAATAAAGAAATACAATCACATTTTAAAAATAAATAAATGAAAATCCTTCTAAAAAATGCAATCTTCTGGCCCTAGCGGCTGGTATGGCTCAGTGGATTGTCAGTCTGTGAACCAAAGGGTCACCAGTTCAATTCCCAGTCAGGGCACATGCCTAGGTTGCAGGCCAGGCCCTCAGTAGGGGGCGCACAAGATGCAACCGTACACTGATATTTCTCTCCCTCTCTCCCTCCCTTCCCTTCTGTAAAAATAAAATCTTTAAAAAAATAATTTAAAAATATTAAAAATGCAATCTTCCAAACATGTCTTCATACATCCCTTGGCTATTCTGTGTAGGCTTGAGTCCATCACTTGTCTATTATTCTGTATGTTTTACTGCAATTAAAAATAAAAAAGTCAAGCCATGGCGGGATAGCTCAGTTGGTTAGAGCATTGTCCCAATATACGAGGTTGTGGGTTCAGTCCCTAGTAAAAGCACATACAAGAATCAACCAGTGGGCCCTGGCTGGGTAGCTCAGTCAAAGCATTGTTCTGATACACCGAAGCTGCTGGTTCAATCCCTGGTCAGGGCACATACCTCAAGAAACCTATGAATGCATTAATGAGTGGAAAAACAAATTGATGTGTTTCTCGCAAATCAACTTTTAAAAATACACCAATGAATGCATAAATAAATGTAACAAGAAATTAATGTTTCTTTTTTTCTCTCTCTCAAATCAATTAAAAAATAAAAATAAAAGTTATATATAAATGGAATCGTACAGTACGTCACATTTTGGGATTGGCTTTTTTTGCTCAGCATAATTCCCCGGAGATTAATGTGATTAATGTCTTTTGATAAATAAAGTCTTTTTTAAAATATGGAACGCTTCACAAATTTGCATGTCATCCTTGCACAGGGGCCACGCTGATCTCTGTACCTTTCCAATTTTAGTATATGTGCTGCTGAAGCGAGAACAATATGGACAGTCTTAGTATTCTGAGTTATCAGTGTTTTATAGTTACCGATTTTCATAGTTTTAAAAAATCTTTGCTTACCCTAAGGTCATGAAGATACTGTTATTTTCTACATGTTTTATTTTTAAGTATATTTTATTGATTATGCTATTACAGTTGTCCCATTCTTTTTTCCCCCCTTCATCCCCGTGCCCGCTCTACATGTTTTATTTATTTCACTTTTCACATTTAGATATATAATCCATCACGAACTGATTCTGTATACAAGATGAGGTTCAGGATCAAGAACCATTTTTTCCCCATAAAGATACCCAGTGTCTTTTATTGAAAAGATTGTTCTTCTGCATAGCTCTGTATTGCCACTTTTGTCATAAAACAAATGTGGGTCTATTTTTGGACTCTCCATTCTATTCCTTTGGTCTACTGTTTGCCAATATTAATCACACTGTCTTAATGACTAAAACTTAAGTCTTGATCCTGATAGTTAAGTCCTCCAACTTTGCTCTTTTTTAAGTTTGCCTTGCTTATTCATGTTCCTTTGGCACTTCCCTATAACTTTCATGATCGGTTTTTCTTTTTTTAGGAGTTCAAGTGGCGGTGGCAAGATTTATTAAAGTAAAAGTACACCTTGGAGGGAGAGAGAGCAGGCAGGCTCAAAGAACCACTTGTAAATTGGTTTGCCAATTAAAAATCTCTTGGGATTTTGATTGGGATTGTATTGAACCTATAGGCCAATTTGGGAGAATTGATGTCTTTGCAATACTGAGTCTTCAAATTTATGGAGACCTTTTTTATTTCATTTTTTTCTCATATCCAATACATTAGCAACTCTGCTTATTTCAAAATATATACAGAATCTGAGTGTTTCTCACTATCCCAATTGGTCCAAGTAGCCATCATATTTCACCTGTATTATTGCAATACTGGTGAGAAGCAACTGGTTTCCCTGGTATCCCCCTTACTCCTCTTCATTCTATTCTCAGCAGTGTTCAGAACAATGTTCTTATTGGGTTGTCTTGCTACTGTTGACTTGTTGGAGTTCTTATATATGGGATGCAAGTCCTTTGTCAGATATATGTATATTGTATTTTTTCTGATTGTGCTTGCTTTTTCATTTTTTAAAGTTTCTTTTGATGAACAGGCTCAATTTTTTTTTTATTGTTGTTCAATTACTGTTGTCCCAGTTTTTCCCTGGTTGCTCTCCCCTGCCTTGCCCACCCTCCCGGCTCCCTCAGTCAATCCCCAACCTGTTGTCACTTTGTCTGTTACCACGAGTGAGTCCTTTATACCTGTTCCTTGACTAGACCCTTCCCCGTTTTTCCCATTATCCCTTTCCCCCTCCCCACCTTTTCTTATTTATTGATTTGAGAGAGACATCAATGTTGTTCCACTTACTTATGCATTCATCGGTTCATTCTTATATGTGCCCTGACCAGAGGTCCAACCCACAACCATGGTGTATCAGGATGACACTCTAACCAACTGAGCACCTGGCCATGGCCTGAAAACTTAATTTGATGGTTCAATTGATCATTTTTTTCTTTGTCTTCCCCCCCCCCCCCACAAAGCAATCTTGCCTATGCCAAGGTCATAAAAACATCTGCCTCATTCTATAAGCTTTATGGTTTGAGTTTTTACTTTAGGTCTGTCATCCATCTCAAACTAGTTGTTATATATGGAGTGATGTAAATTTTTTTGCATACAGACCCAGTTGTTACAGCTCCATTTTTGGAAAAGATTTTCCTTTTTCCCTTGGACTGTCACAGTGCCTAGAGTGATCTTTTTAGAGATCACATTACTCCTCTTTCAAAACCCTTCAGTGGTTTCCCAACTCAGAGTAACAGCTGAAATATGCTCCATTAAGGTTCTACATTTCCACCCTGACGTCATCTACTGCCACTCTTCCAGCTGCTCATTCACTCATCACTTCCAAACACACTGACCTCCTTGCTATTCTTGATCATGCTGGACATACTCCCACCTTGGGGGTCTTTGGTTGGGAAGCTCTTTCCCTCAGATAACTGCACTGCTCATTCCTTTACTTTTTTTTTTTTTGTAGCTCAAAAATGTTTTATTTTTAGAGATATCAACTTTGGGGTTTTAAAATAAGCAGTGTAGGCCCTGGGTGGGTAGCTTAATTGGTTAGAGCATTGTCCCTGATATGCCAAGGTTGCAGGTTCAATCCCTGGTCAGAAAATACACAAAAATATAAAATAATAAAATAAAATAAGCACTGTCCTGGCTGGTGTGGCTCAGTGGACTGGGTGCCAGCCTGAGAACTGAAGGGTCGCCGGTCTGATTCCCAGTCAGGGCACATGCCTGGGTTGTAGGCCGGGTCCCCAGTTGGGGACATGTAAGAGGCAACCGATCAATGTATCTCTCACACATCAATGTTTCTCTCCCTTTCTTTCTCCCTCCTTTCCTCTCTTTCTATAAATAAATAAATATTTTTTAAAAGGCAGATTATTCATTAGAGAAATTGTTTCACAATACAGGTAATTTTAACCTTTATTATTATTATATTTTTAAATGTTAACTTCTCAGTTAGGTCTTTCTTCAATATCCTAAAATCTCAACACCCTCCTGAACTTCCGATTTCTTTCGGTTTTATATTTCTTCTTAGTATGGACCACATTATCTAACATACCATACCCATACTTCATTTTTCTTCTTTTATTTCTCCCACCTGAGCTCTGAAAGTTGTGGATTTGTTCTGTTTACTGCAGTCTCCCCAGCATGTAGGACAATGCCTGGCACATAGCAAGTATTAGATAAATTTGTAAAATGAACAAAAATATTTAAGCCCAGAAAAATGAAGTTACTTGTCCAAGATTACATAGGTAATAAACAATAGAGCTAAAATTTAAACCCAAATCATGCTCTTAAACCTGAGAAGTGGGCTGTATCACCGATGGGGCTTAGGATGGGCAGAGAGTTGCAGTGAACCTGAGAGCCTTCTCCATCTTCTGCCTGCAATGGAGCCAGGCCTCCCAGAGCTCAGGTCTAGCCTCAGCAATTGATTGGGCCAATGGCCACCCTGCCCCAGTATACTACTGGGGGCAAGGCCAGTATGCAGATGCCCCCCAGTGGCTAGGGAGGGAAAGACAGGCAAAATGTAGCCTTTAGGCTGAAGGTGGATGGGAAGGCAGACCTGGTTTATTTTCAGTTCCCAGTCTCTCCCCTCACAGAAGATACAATATAGGATGTGGGCATAACAGATCTTTATTTTATCAGAAGGGACAGGCAGTGGGGCAGTGCAGCATCCAAGCCCCAAACCGAACATGCAGCATTCACATGCAGGAACAGGCTGGGGCAGGGCCCAGGCCTGGGGTGAGGGACTGGGATCAGAGGACACCCACAGTACCCCTGCCAGGATGCTTGGGCCCTGGGCTCTTCTGCCTCCACTAGAGCAAGGATACAGAAGACTGGGTTGCTTCCCCATGGCTAGAATCCTATCACTCTGGCCAGGAAGAAAGATGGCACAAGGAGTATGGAGTTTGGCCAGTCTGTAGCACTTGATTCTGTAGGGGGTTGGCACAGCCCTGCCCAAAGGAAGGGCCTGGCCCAATACCCAGGACAGTGCAGCCCTTGCAGGAACAGGATCTACAGACTTTCTAGTCCCCAAGGGGGCTAGACCCTGATCCCAGAAAGGCTTAGCAGAGTTGGGACTAAGCCTCACTTCACCGAGTAGGGACAGGTCCATGAAGGGGCTTCCCTGAGCACAGCAGGGGCCTCCTAAGGCAGTAGTAAACTGTGAGAGCTGCTTTAGACAGGAGGCCTTGCTTCTGTGCCCCTGGGGTGGGGGAGAGAGGTAAGGTATGACAGCAGGCCTGGGGCTGGGAAGGGGTGAAGTAAAGGGCAATGGCTTGGACCTGTAGGCCACTGCTACCTAGGCTTAGAGGGGCTAGTGCAGGTGAGGCTGGGGACTTCCCAGAGTAGGGTTTAGGGCTGGGAAGACCAGGCCAGGAGAGGGGTGAGTGGCCATCCTACCCAGACCCCTTGTACCCATGCCGAAGTCTGGCCAGGGCCACAGGGAGGATGGACAGATGCACAGGGAACTTCAAGGCACCAGGATTCTGAAGAGCAGCAGGGCCACCCTCCACAGACAGTGATTATAATAAACATTTTCAGCTTAAACTACATGATGTGTGTAGAGGGTGGGTGGGGGGAGAGACAGAAAGAAAAAGACAGACAAAGGAAGAAACATATGTTTAGGAAGATGAGGGTGGAAGAGACACACCAGATGAATATGCAGGGAAAGTGAGGGTGTGGTGTAGAGAAGAGGAAGGAGACAGACGGGGGAGAGGGAAGACAGCCAGAGAAGGCCTGAACACGCAGCACTTCTGGTCCCTACAAAATAAGGCACCAGAGTCAGTAACATTCCCACTGTTCCTGTGGTACTAGAACAGGTGCTGAAGGGAGGAGCGGGAGGCTGCTGAAGGGTGTGGGCCTTCGGGCGCCTCACACTTGTGCACCGGTGGCCTTCTTGATGAGGGGTATCTGTAAGGGTGGGAGATGTTATGAGGCCATGGCTCTGGGGCTCATAACTGCTCCACCTGGGTTAGTCCAGTGGGCTACCCAGGCAACCCCACCACAGCTAGTGAAGTACACACCTTAGATAGGTCCACGCCTGTAAGGGCATGCACGGAGGCAGGCAGCTCGGCCAGCAGTCGGTTCACTTCTGATGTCACTTTATTGTTGTCCCCACTGAGGACCACAATCTCATCGACTTTGGTCAGTGGGGCGGCGACTTTGGCAGCAATCTAGGAGGTTGGGTGGGAGAACAGCTTGGTTCATTCTGACTGTCCACGTGCCCTGTCCAGGATTCCCTCCCTTCCCTCTCAATCTCACTTAAACCTCAAAACAGCCTTGTTCGAAAGCCATAGCCTGGGTGTCTATTGTAGAGTTCCTGCCCCCTGCTGAATACTCCCCCATTTAATTCTAGTCAGCCTGTCCCTGTGCTCCTGACAAGGTCTACAGAAGTTCCTGCGCATGCCCGGCCTGGGGTGGGAGCCTCACCTGGGGCAGGGCCTCCAGCACCAAGGCCATCTTGGCTGAGTCCCCATATTTCTGGTAGGCCTCAGCCTTGAGCTTCATCCGCTCAGCCTCTGCCTTGCCCATCGCCTCGATGACTGCGGCCTCTGCCTCGCCGATTTTTCGGATCTTCTCAGCCTCTGCCTGAGCCAAGAGGACCTGCTTCACTCTGGGGGAGTCCAGGGAAGTTGGATCAGTGGGAAGTGCCAGGGGCCCCTCAGGCCTTGCCTGGGGGCCAGCAAACCCTCAAGTCCTCTGTTTGGGCAGGTGGTGATGGGGGGGCGGGGGCGGGGCCCTGGCATTCTGGCTCTGGCCAGAGAGAGAGTATGGGCTCCCAGATGCAAAGTGAAGTATGGGATTAACCAGGATGCCCTCTGTACCAAGCACCATACCAGGCCCTCAAACCTCCTTTATTTCAGTCTTCCTAACAACAATCCCATATTCTTCATGGCGAGTAAGCAGGGATGGAGAACAGGCTTACACTGTGGTCAGGAGAGTGGAGGGAGTGCATGCATGGCAGAGGAACCTGGCTCATGTCCCAGCCCCTGGCACCAAGCAGCACTCACTTTTCACCCTCAGCTATCTGCTGTATGCGGTGTGCCTCTGCCTCAGCCGGGCGCCGCACCGTGGCAATGAGCTCCTTGTCTGTGCGCAGGATCTCCTGCTCCTCCACTGCAATCTGCTTCTTACGCTGTACGACCTCAATCTCAATCTCTTCTTGCCGGATCTTCTGCTGCTCACGGGCCCCTTGTAGCTCATAGGCCAGCTGGGCCTCAGCTGTCTGTGGCAGAAGTGTGCTCGGCATCAGGCTAGTTGCCAAGCCTTAGGCCCTGAGCCCCAACCCGGGTGATGTATAGCTACTCACCTTGATATTGACTTCCTCACTGAAGGCTGACTTTTGCAGCTCAAAGGCTCGCTTGGAGTCAGCGATTTTGGTGTCTGCCATGAATTTCACGTCCAACATCTCCTTCTTGCACTCAGCTTCCTGGAAGCAGGAGGGGCAGGTGCTGAGGGACCTCTGAGAAACCATGGTCCCACCACCCCTGAGTTCCATGTCCTGGGGGATGGGACGGAATGCCCACATACCCGGATGCCTGCGTCCCGCTCAGCCTCTGCCACACCAATGTCAGCATCTCTCTGTACCACAGCAGTTTGCGTCTTGCCCAGGGAGCTCAGATAGTCCACTTTATCATACACATCCTGAGGAGGGAAGGGGAATCATCCCTAGGAACAGTTTTAAGCACAAATGTTCCCCTCTTGTCAAGACCCCCCACCCCCCCGCTCCTAGATGGTTGGAATAGCTTCCCCATCAACTGCACCTTGATGGTAAAGCTGAGGATCTCAATGCCCATTCGGCCAACATCAGGGGCTGCCACCTCCCGTACCAGCTTGGCAAACTGGTCCCGGTCCTGATAAATCTGCTCCACAGTCAGGGTCCCTGGGGGCAGAAGGATCATGAGCTGGCTCCCCAGGGACCTAGCCAGCTAGGAAAAGGAGGAGGCATGCAAGTTGAGGTCTGAGTGTATGCAGAGGTTGTACAGTCTGAGCTGGGTCTTCCTGGTTTCTTCTTAACAGTGTTTAGTGCCATGCTTCCTTCTGTAGAGTCCAGGCTGGGTGAAGAAGAGTGTTCCAAGAAGCACTAGATGCCTGACCAGACTAGCAGCCCCTCACCCTCCACCCCAATACCCTCCCCTTTACTCATGTCACCTGAGGTTCTGGAAGGAAAACTTGAAGGAAAATGTTTCAACTTTTCATCTAGAAACCTCTGTGGGCCTGGAGGACCCCCCTGCCCCACCCTGTACTCCTCCCTTGCCCTGGCCTGGGGACCCCATGAGGTTCCTTGAAGGCAGCAGAGGGGTCCCTGGGTTGGGCAGGGTCTCACCGAGGATGGAACGCAGGTGCCCCTCCAAGGTCTGCAGGACGACATTCTTGATGTCTTGCACATTCTTGCCCAGAAATTGCTCGCAGGCTACGGCCAGGAGCTCCTTCTCCGTCATGATCTTCACCTGCCAGTGGTCACAGAGGCGCCTGAGCCAGGCTAGGGGGAGGCCAATGGAAGCCCCAGACCCAGGTGTGGAGGGTGGTAGCTACATCCCTCCCCTCCTTGTTCAGGCCTGGAGGCCTAGGGGCTGGAGATGGGGGTGAAGTCTGTCTGATGCCTCTAGCGGGGATAGTACCCAAGAATTTTCACACTTAGAAGTTTCATCCTCACTGGCAGCTCCAGGCCCTGACATGGCCTCTCTCCTGGACATGTGGGGCTTATCCCCCCACCTCTCCAGTCTACTTGCTATTATCTCATTAGCCAATTCCTCCCTGGCAGGCTCCCCACAAGTGGGAGACCTGTAGACTAAGGGGCAGAGAATGCAAAAAGGACAATGAGCAATAGGGACAGAGACAGAGAGGCCAAGAAAGAGCACCTAGACAGGCAGGGGACAGGTCCACGGCATGCCAGAGAGGGTGGGCATCCTTTTGCCTTTCCTTCCCAAGGTAGTAAGCCAACAATCTCCTCACCAGAGGCCTATGGCATTGTTGAGTCTTTCCGCCCTGTGAAGTTGTACGGTGGACTAGGGCAGGAAGGCCCTCACCCAGGCACCAAGCTGGGAATATAACACAGTCTCTGACTCCGGAGCCCAGAGTCTGCCTCACACGGCCTCACACCCACGGAACCCCCTACCCAGAGAACAGGATAGGACCTGGATTCTGGGGCTTGGCATTTCCGACACCTGCAAAGAATGGGGTTGGGTTAGTGAGACAGGAGCCCTCAGCACTGGTTCTGTCCCTCGTGGGCCCGCTGAGAAGAAAAGGGGTGTCTGTTAGTCCTGCTGGTGGCCAAGTGACCAAGAGAGCATGTTCCAGTGGTGATGACCCTCTTTTGGAAGGGGAGCGGGGGCAGTGGTGCTGGAGAGAGACTGACCCTGGCTGCTGTCCTCTCCTCCCGCCCCAAATCCCAGCACAGGACGAGGCAGCTCAACGGTCATGCGCAGGGCTGCTGAGTTACTATACCTGGGCGACACCCGTCACAGTTAAAGCTACCCCCTCGGCCGTCTCTACGTCCTCGCAGCGGGGCTGTAACGTCATAATCTCTAGGGAAATCCTGCCAAGAAATGCAAAACAGGGGCATGGGTCTGGGGGCCCAGGGCCTGGGATGTGGGGAGAGAACCCAATACCTCACTGCTCCAGCTGGGACTGGCCAGGGATCTTGTTGCAGAGGAAGATGGGGAGGATTCCCAGGGGTTGCAGCTGGGAGTATGTGTGAAGGGGAGGGGTAGGAAAGCAAGGCAGGGCAGTGCAGGGGGTTCCAGGGGAAGGAGTGTGAGTGTGCTACCCAAGTGTATACATGTCCTCTGTTGAAATCAGCCTGGCTTGAAGAGTGGGAAAAAGAAGCAGAGAAGTGGTTATGGTCATCTGGGCTGGTGGGAGTGTGGGGAGAGCCCAGGAATAGTTGTATGTACCCATCAGAGGGCAGCAAGTAAGTGCTGGTACTCCAGGCTGTGCTGTGTGGGTTGTCCATGGGTGCCATCTGAACCTTCCCCAGGGGCCCCCACCTGTTCCCTGGGTCTGCTCAGCACTCCAGAATGGTCCAGCAGGCTGCCTAGAAAGCTCTGCCTGGCAGCCTGGCCGGCTGGGAGTATACCCTCTGCTGAGCCAAGCTGAGGAGATCCTGCATCTGCCCTTTGCTAGGGAAGCCCTGCCTGATCTGTTCATCTGCCAACAGGCTGTGATGTGAAGCCTACCCTCTGAGTTGAGCTCAGATGGTCAAGTTGGGAATGAGGCCACAGTGGGGCTTCCTGTCCCAGACAATCTGAGGCCTCAAGGGCCACATCACCCAGCTTAAAAATGGACCTGGGCATTTGCAGTTATTTCAAGTACAGTAGTGGATTTGGAGGCAGATGGGGCTGCTTTCGGCTGGATGTTGAGGGAGGCCAGGGCCCTACCCACTCCACATAAAGTGCTTGGAGCTTCTCAGGCCTCTGAACTGAAGTCTACCCTCTCATGGTCACAAGGGGCAAATGAGATGGGGTGGTCCCCTTCTTAATTAGAGCTGGCAGGATGGGTGAGAGGAAGGGACTAGTGGTACAGTTTTTGCCCGAAAAGGCTGAAGGGCATTGTCATGCAGAGGGAAGGAGGTGGGTTAGATAACACTTAGGTCTCTCCTAGCCTGGGTACCCAGGAGCATGCAGGCTCTGAGGGGCAGGGGCTTTGTGATATATTTTTCTTTTCTTTTCATTTTTCTCTTCCCCTTCCCTCCTTCCTTCCTTCCTTCTTTTTTCTTTCTAGGATTTAATTTCTTTTTTTAGAGGGAGGAGAAGGGAGGAAGAAAGAGAGGGAGAGAAACATCAATGTGCAAGAGAAACATCGATCTGCTACCTCTCATTCGCCCCCAACTGGGGACCTAGCCTGCAACCCAGATATGTGCCCTGACTGGGAATCAAATTGACAACCTTTTGGTTTACAGGCCAGTGCTCCACCCACTGAGCCACACCAGCCAGGGTTCTTTCTTTTTCTTATAATAAAAACTTTTTCTTCAATGTGTCTATTAATCTTAGAGAGAGAGGAAGGGGGAGAGAGAGCAAGAGAAACCTTGATCGGTTGCCTCCCATAAGCACCCTGACCAGGGATCGAACCCCCAACACTTTTGGTGTATGAGATAGAGTGCTCCAACCAACTGAGCCACACTGGCCAGGGCAGGGGCTTTCTGTTATTCACTGCAGCATTCACAGTGCCTGGAACTGAGAAGGTGCTCAGTGGAGAGTTGGTGAATGAAGTAATGAAGATGGGAACCTGCACATTACAAAGAGAGCACTTGAGTTACTAAGTGCTCTGGTCTAGGAATGAATTTCATCAGCTACGCCTGCATGGTAATGAAGAGTGAGACACCAGGACACTTGCTTTTCAAAGAGAGATTGTATTCATAATAAAGCTTGTGTTTCTCTAGCACTTCTTTTCCAAAAATCCCAAAGTGCCCTCATACTGTTTTACTTGCCTTTCCAATACCCCTACATGGCACAGAAAGGGCATGATCCTTCCCATTTCACAGAGAGGTAAACTGAAGTCTAGTAACTAGAGATCTCACAGGCCTCTCAACAAAGAATGAGGGGCAGAAAATGGTCAAGGCTCTTTTGGCTCAGACCTGTCAAGGAGATTGAAGGGGGCAAGGGGCTGGGTGAATAGCATTCCCCATGGGACCTGTCTTCTGTCTTGCAGGACAGGGAGCTAGGGCTTCACACTAGGGTGTCAGCCTGGAGAAAGGGCTAGCAAAGGCCTCCCTGGTACCTGGAAGACTTCATCAGCTGTAGACAGGACTGAACCCGCCCCACCTGGACAGCCCTACCACCTAAGGGCCTGTGTCTTCTGCTTCAACTTACTCCCAATTTAGGCTGGGAATGCGAGGACACCCACTGGCAGACTTTGGCAGAGCTGCCAGAATCCCTCGCCCTTTTCCCACCAGCCACCCCAAAGGGTGGGGGTAAGGGAGCTGGGATCTATCCTGGCACCCAGGGGAGCAGAGGAGAAAGAGACACACTCTCAAAAGGGGAGTCCATCCAGCTCCGGCCTGCCAGCCCCCACAGGGCATGAAGAAAGAAAGTTAGACACAGAGGAGGAAGCAGGTGGGTTATTACCTGTGCAACCCCTGTTACGAATAGCGGGACCCCCTCCGACGTCTCAATATTCTCACAGCGACACAGGATGGTCATAACCTCCAGAGACAGTCTGAGGAGCAGCCAGGGGTAGGGAGAGGTAGGGACAGGAAGGGGTAGGAGGGGACACAGCAAACACACACAGTGGTTATGAGATAAGCACTGATGCCGGATGCCTGGGGGCAGGGTTGCTCTCCACACTTCAGCCCCCCACTGCCAGTTCAGCCTAGGGCTGTAGGAGAACAGACAATCCCTCACTGGCCTGAGGCCTCTGGGTCTCCTCTCTAGCCCCCGTACCCTTCCAAGGAGCTGCTGCTGGGCTGGAGAAAAAGCCTGTTGACATCCTGGACCTGTGACCTGAGGCTTGTGCATAGGGCACCCAATTTGCTCACCACCTGTTCCCCAGGAGAGTTCTAGCATGATCTGGGAGACTTAGCCTCAGCTCCACACTCCAAACACAGGCAAACCTGTTTTCCCAGAAATGGGGAGGAAGAGGCCACTCTGGGGACTAATGAGCCACAGCAAATACCAAATCCTGCTTGGGGCACATACCCTCAAGGTCTGTGCTACATATCACTAAGGTAATTTAGGACCAGAAAAGCCCAAAGAAAAATTTGGATTTTCTTATTTGGGGGTGGGGTGGGGGTGTCAAGGAAGGCTGGGGGAGGAAGCGTGCCCTTGTCAGAATATTCACAGGGAAAACTAGGACATGATACAGCAATTCATTTTGGAATTTCCAATGCTGGGCACAGGCAGAGAAGAGTCATGGCAAAGAAAACAAGGCACCCGGAAGCTACTTGGCCCACCCTAGCTGGGCCTCCCTAGGGCAGCGTGTGTGCGTGCGAATGTGTGTGGGGCGGTGTCTAGGCAGAGGCCAGGCTGTGGAGAGCGTGGATGCTTTCCCTGAACCAGAGGAAAGGAGGACAGACACTGAGGCTGGAGGAGCAGAAGGAGGTGAGCTGGGGTGAGGGGTGATGGGCAGCCGCAACCCCAATTCTCACATGCCAGCCCTGTGGGCTCTGGCCATGCAGATGTGCAAAGGCTGCCTTCTTTCAAGCCCTTACCTCTAGCACCCTTCGGCCTGAGAGGACTCTAGACCTGGCCCAGACAGGAACCCACCAAACTCTCTTTTGGGGAAGGAGGACAGAGGGAGAGAAGGAGAGAGGAAAGGAAGGAGGGAAGACGGGAGGCTGCAGCTCAGATGCCAGAGTTGGAGGAATTGCTCAGGTAAGGAGACAGCTGCCTACATCATGACAGCGCAGGACATGGCAGCACAGTGCAGCAGGAGGGACTTAACTGAGCAGCCTGGAGAAGGAAAGCTGACACTGAGAGTCAGTGACATGTAGGATGGCTGTGGAAAGTACCTTGAAAAGGATACTGAGGATCCAGGCTGGCTTAGAAGCCTCTACTCTGACATGAGAGGCTCCTGCTGGCCTAGGGAAATGAAGGCCTCAGCTTGTAGAGATGTCCCCCAAGCAGGTTAGAGGTCAGGGAAGGGGCCATCCCCAGAACAGGGCCCAAGAAGGAGAGGGGCTGCAGACTCAGACTGACCAGCAGCTGGGACCCCAGGGAGGACACTGTGCCTGGGTGTGTGAGATCAGTTTCCTAGGACAAGGTACAAGGCCCTCCACCTCTTACTTCCAGACTTGCTGTCAGAGAAGCTGGGCCCTGTCTTGGGAGGGACCAAGAATGTGGAGAAAGTGGCAGTTGTTGCCCTAGTAGTAGATGCCCACGTGGGACTGGTCTCTGGGCAAGTCGCAAATTCTCTGCACCTGGCCGTATGTTGAGGCATTCAGACAAGATATTCTGTTGTCCCAGGACTGCACAGCATATGGGCTGGGCTGGCAATATCTCTGGAAAGGACAACCCATGGTTTCTGGCAGGCCAGTTGGCCCATTGAAGAGTGCCTAGGAGCCTCCTGAGAGTAAGTTGTGACCAGTATTGATTATTCTGACACTTTGGCTTTGGGCCAGAAAAGTCCCCCAGGATTATACCCAGACAGAAAGTGAGGGGAGAGATGGGAGAGTGGAAGGGGTTACTAGGCAATCAGTGAAGTTAAAAAGCTGTGACATGCTTCCCATGCCCCTGACCCTAGCTGACACTCTCGGACTCCCTGGAGCCCCACACACTGATAGCTCGGTGCAGCCATGGGACTTCTCTGATGTCTGGTGGGGCTGGGGTGGAAGGGGATTTCCACTGGAATCTCCATCACTTCCCCTTCAGGATGACACCCCCTGCCCCCCTCATGCCATACCTTCACAGCTACGCTGCCCTTGCTGCCTGGGTCCTGGCCTGGAAGGATCTGGGCTCCTCCCTCAATCTCCCATAGTCAGAAAGGGGGTGATGGTAGAAAGGTGGCTGGCATGCCTCATCTCCTTCTGGGTGGGCAGTGAGGGCAGCAGGTAAGGTTCAGGTCAAATCTTGCCCTGCCACGGGCTCTGGGGGTGCCAGCAGGTGTAGTCTGATGGTGGCCCCGTGGGGGACCGCAATGTCCCTTCCCCTAGTCTTCCCACACTGATTTAGGAGGCCCACACTGGTCTTGCCCTCCCTGGCACTAATTCCTCAGATCCCCACCCCTCTCCAACCAACCACTGGCACATAGCCACTTCAGATTCTATATCCTCTGCTATTTAGCCCCTGCCTGCACTGTCCCAAGGCCTGCAAAGATGATGGTGCATGTAAAGGGTCTCTTCAGCCTTTTTTCCCCTCCCTAGACTCACTCTAAACAGGATGTATAATTAGGGCTTCATAAATAACTTTGAGCTAGAATCAGGGCATTAGGATTATCCCTGGGTAGGACCCTGTACTCTCTGGGACAGAAGTGATGCCTCCAGTGGAAAAAAGCACACCCACTAAGGAAAGGTGCCCATGGACAGAACTCCAGCATCCCTCTGCAATCCATTTTGCCTGTTTCTTAGGAGACCCCCACCCCCAAAATGGAATGTGGCAAGTGTTAGATGCCCTGGCTGACCTGTGGGATGAAATGGGAAGGCTGGAAACTTCCCTTTTGCCCTTGCCTGCCAAGTTCCCTGAGCGCCGCCCCCCCACCCCCCGCCCGGCCCTTACCTCTGGGTGTCGGAGATACACCACCAGGCCCAGGCCCAGCCGCCAAACACATACTGCTTATAGTCTGAACCACAGCAGCCCCCTGGAGAGCAAAGCAAAACATTGTATGTCAGTCAGCTCTTGGGTTTGTCTACCTCTATCTGTCCAACTGCAACCCTAGGCTTTATCTGCTGGGATACTTAACAAATCCCACTGTTGGGCGCCAGATGCCGAGGTTACACAAAGTGGGCAATCTGCATAAAAAGGAGGATATCCAATGAGTATGTCAGAATGTAAGTGCGTTCAGAGAACAAAAGAGGTCAATGGGCAGGAGTGAGCAAAAGAAACCTCCATCTTTCATTCAACCATCCATTTAACAAATTAAGAGTATTTTTTTGTGCTAGGAATACAGAAATGAAAATAAGTCCTGCCTTGAAGAAGGTGAGATGAGGAGGAGGGACCTTTTCCTGAGATGATTGTAATACCATGCTAATTCACCTATTATCAGGGCAAGTGCAGGCAGACAGGGAATGCCGCAACTCCCCCCCCACCCCCCCACCTCACACTCTGGGAGAGGGAGGGATGGAGGGAGGGAGTCTTGAGTCAAGATGGGAGCCTTGCTCAAGCCTGGCAGACACACCTCGCAGAGGCTAATCCTCTATTCCCAGGATTTCAGAGTGACTTTATTCCTCTGTGGGAGCAGATGGGGAAGGCAAGACCTCAAAACAAAGGCCAACTCATGATATCAATGGGAGAAGTAAAGCAAAGGGCAAAGGTCTAAAAAGGAAGTAGTTTGCCCTGGCTGGCGTGGCTCACTGGGTTGAGCATCAGCCTGCAAACTGAAAAGTTGCTGGTTCGATCCCCAGCCAGGGCACACGTCTGTCTGGGTTGCGGGCCAAGTCCCCAGTTGGGAGCGTGCAAAAAACAACCGATTGATGTTTCTTTCCCTCTCTTTCTTCCTTCTTCTTGCTCTAAAAATAAATAAATAAACAGAGAGATAGATAAATAACTAAATAAAATCTTAAAAACAATAAAAAGGAAGCAGTCCCTGGAAACTATGTATCTATGTATCAGCTATGAACAGAGTATTGAATCTGGTCTGGATCCAGATTCTTGCTGTGGACATGTTCAGCACGCTTTCTGTAAAGAAATGAGAAAAATCAATTCCTGAAATTCTTGTTTTGAAACCTCCAAGAAATGCCAAAATTACTCAAGTTCAAGAAAACTTGTAAAAGCTGCAGGGGCAGTTCACTTGTAATGCAAACATATGTATGGAAAACATGATTCACAGGAAATGTGATCTGTATATTTAAAAACAAAGCAAAACAAAGGAAATGTGATTTGGGAAAAAAGCCAGCGGATGCCATTATTTCCATGTTCACAAACTGGGGCTTTCAGGAGAGCCTTAGGGTACTGCATTCCAAGGTCAGAGGTTAGGGATAGTTTCCCGTACCTGAGCTACAGTGTCTATGAGGACCTAAGGCAATAGACAAGGTGGTGGTAGGGGAGGGACAGATCAGTGTCGCAGTTATTAGGCCAAGGAGCTGTGTGTGTGTGTGTGTGTGTGTGTGTGTGTGAGAGAGAGAGAGAGAGAGAGAGAGAGAGAGAGAGAGAGAGAGGCGGGGGGAGAGAATATGATGGGGTCCACAAAGGGATTTAAACTGGGGAGCAACAAAACTACATTTACATTTTAGAAATACTGCTTTGTACAAGGAATAAGATATTGGGGTCAGGGAGATTGAGTAGAAGCCTCTTGCAGTGATCTAGGCAAGACATGGTGTCTGAGGGGGATAACTTCTAGAGCTTTCTGTGTGAGTGGAAAAGTTCTATAGCTGCACTGTGCAATAATGGCAGCCACTAGCCACAGGTGGCTATTGAGCACTTGAAATGTGACTGGTACAACTGAGAAAATGAATTTTAATTAATTTAAATTGAAGTGGCCACATGTGGCTAGTTGCTACCATATCAGCACAGCTTTACAGTCTAGTTTTGGGTGGGTGGTGAAGCCAGAAACCAAAACAGAGAACTTCAAACTGGAGAGTGTTGGGTGAGTGGAGGTGAAGGAACAAAGTCCCCAGGGATGCTGAGGGCCTGTTAGGTTCAAGAACTGGCATCTGAGACTGTTCACTAAACAGCCAAATCAGCTTCTTGGGCCTGCTGCTGTGCATAGTGGGCAAGTAGCTGGGCCAGAGGTCCAGGGAGCAAAGATCAGCTCCACGTGTAAGTAGGGGGTGGGAAGAGGAGGTCTTAGTCTCTGTTTCTCTGTGGAGAAAATAACTGTTCACAGGGCTGCTCTTCAATGGAAGCTGCTGGAGTGGGGTACAAGAGCTCTAAGGACAAGCAGTCAGTCTGAAACCTAAACCATCTCGGGATTCAGTGAAACTGGAAGAGGGTCAAAAACCACAGTTTGTTTCACTTCTGGCCTGGTGGGGGTGGGGCATGGCTGCCTCCAGCCAGTTCCTGGGAGCTTTTCGGTGCTGGGGGCAGGAGGTGGTAGTGGTGATCCATAGTGGGCTAGCGGGAGGCCAGGGGGGGAGGTTGGAAGGATGTCCACCCTTTACCTTTAACTTAGTCTTTGACCTTGGGAGCAGGCTGCTACAGCTCAAGCTGGGCCTTGGCCAAGGGCAACATGGCTAGGTTCCCGGGGTAGCAACAACAGGAAGCTGGGATTGCCAGATTACCCTGCTCCCAGCAGCCTCTTCTTCTGGAAGGCATCTTTCTTCCAGCTTCCTGGTAATGCTAAGCCTGAGCACCACTCCCAAAAGAGGACACTTAGGTGCTCCTTCCTTGCCTGTCTTAGCTTCCACTCTCTTCAGACCTGAAAGTTTTCCCTAAATTTTATCTCACTTTTTCTAAACCAACCTGCTTTCTTTTGTCTGTCCTCCACCAAGCTAAACCATCACAGAACACCCTTAGATAACCTCTGCCCCACTCTTGGCCCCTCTCCAGACATACTTTGCTCTCTCAAGAAAACCCCCTTTCCCTTCTTGCCATTCCCTTTTCCACTTCCTTCTGACCATTAGTGCATATTCTGCAAGGGGGATTTGGCTTTTTATTGAGCCACAAAAGCCCTTATTAATCCAGAAATGCTGAGATGTTCATAAATGCATAAAACAAAATATGTAAGAAACAAATTATATTATCAAAATATTAAAGCAACCAAATATGTGGCATAGTGTGATATGTAATACACAGTAATATGTGCTAGTTTAATACATTACATAATGCCTCTGGTAGATCTAATAATAGGTTTCATTTAAAAGTAGTGATGAACATGAATGATTTTTAAGGTATTACAACAAATGCAGTATGGCAGGAAAATATCTGCTACTACCACCACGGACTGTCACTGACATTCATAATCATAGGACATGCTAAATATAAATGCACTTTTCTCCACATCCAAATGCACAGACCTCTAAATTCTATCTACAGTCCCTAGGTTAGGAACCTCTGACCTCTGTGCTGGCTGTGGGTCAGTTGGTTGGAGCATTGTCCTGTAAACTGAAAGGTCTTGAGTTAGATTCCTGGTCAGGGTACATGCTTAGATTGTGGGTTTGGTCCCTGGTGGAGGTATACAGAGGTAAGCAATTGACGTTTCTCTCTCACAGTGATGTTTCTCTCCCTCTCTCTCCCTCCTTCCCCCTCTTTAAAGTCAATAAGCATGTCCTCAGGTGAGGATTAAAAGAAAGAAAGAAAAAAAAAAAGGAACCTCTAACCTATTATAGAAATGAGAAAAAGGTGCGTGGTATTTGGATTTGCCTTTTAAAATCCCAAACTAGACCCTGGCTGGTATGGCTCAGTGGATTGAGCGCCAACGTGCAAACCAAAGGGTTGCCAGTTTGATTCCCAGTCAGGGCACATGCCTGGGTTGAGGGCCAGGCCCCTAGTAGGAGGCACGTGAGAAGCAACCACACATTGATGTTTCTTTCCCTCTCTCCCTCCCTTCCTCTCTGTCTAAAAATAAATAAAATCTTTTTTTTTTTTAAGTAAAATCCCAAAGTAGAAATAGAGTGAAAGGAAAGGTTTTATATTATAGAACGGAGAAGGAAGGTTAGACAACCAGAAGAACCTCCAGACTTCTCTGGTGAGAAAGTAGACCATAAGCCCTGGCTGGCGTCCCTCAGTGGGTTGGGTGTCATCCTGCAAAGCAAAGCGTTGCTGTTTCGGTTCCGGGTTCCTGGTGAGGGCACATGCCTGGGTTGCATTCCAGGCCTGGTCCCCGGCTGGGGTGCATGTGAGAGGCAACTGATTGATGTTTCTCTCTCACATGAATGTTTCTCTCCCTTTCTCCCTATCTTCCTAAGTAAATAAATAAAATCTTTAAAAAAAAAAAAAAGATGACCATGAAATATATAAGCACTCTTCTTCTGAAATTGGGCTCACTTAATAAGATGCCGTTGGACTTAGATACAGGCCCAACTAACCAGGTAGGGCAGAGCTGGCAGTAGTTGCTCTGTTTTACTAGGAGTCCATGTGCAAGCAGGAGTTGCATCTCATTTTGGTAATCTCAAATCCCAAGGTTGTATTATGCTAGGCATCATCTCTCCCTCTTCCCTTTCGTCCTTCCTTGACTCCAGAGCCCTCAATTTTCAGCATGGCCTCCTCTCCTCACCCCTAAAATAGCGTCCAAATTAGCTGCACTGGCCTCTGGCAAGAGGACTGGGTTTCTGACAACTGCAAAGTACAGAGCAGCCCATCTCAGGGGTTCCTCTCATCCCTCTCCAAAGATTCTGCAAACTGAAAGGTCTCCAGTTCAGTTCTCAATCGGGGCACATGCCTGGGCTGCAGGTTCATACGGAAAGCAACCAATCACTGCTTCTCACTCACATTGATATTTCTCTCCCTCTTTCTCCCTCCCTTCCCCTCTCTTTAAAATGAAAAATTAAATTAAATTTAAAAAAGAAAGAAAAACAAACTGCAGATTCAGGTGCTAAAAGACTTTTTTCAGGGTGGAAGCTGGGAGACTGGTCCGGGTCTTACAGACATAGGTGCAAGTTTGGTGTCAAGTGTTCTCTGGGGACCTCCCTCCTGATCCCAAGTCTATCTCAGGTGTTTAGGAAAGTGAAGTAATCTTATCTTCCCTACAGGGGTAAGATCCTGATCAGGGAGAGTGGGTATTTCCTATACCAGTGGAGAGATTGTATTGAGATCCAGGCTAAGCAAGAGACCGTGTTCTGGGGTAAAAGCTTCCAATGGACTTACCAATCCTCCCCAAGGGTGGGCAGCTACAATATATTGCTTAGCCTTAGCCAGCCCTAAAACTCTGCACACAGGCTGAAAATCTGCATTGAAAATGGAAAGTAAGACACCAGGCCTTCAAGCTGTCAGAAATCGCGGAGCCTCCCCAGCACGGGGAGCCGGGGCTGCTGCACAAACTGGTGCCTCGAAAGGCTTCAGCCACCCCCCCCAAAAAACCCCAAATATACCATTTGAAAGGCAGCCTTAAAACAAGATACCTCTTCCCTCTCCAATACTGCAATCCCCAAGCCCCCACCTAAGCTTACGGAAATTATGGAGCCTGCAGCATTTTGCAACGGGAGTGGCACAACCCAGAACACGGTTTCTCAACCTGTAGAGGCCGCACCCGCGTCTCCCAGAGCACAATGCCAGGAAACCCCAGCAAGCCCCAGCCTACTGGGGATTAACCGGTCTAATAGAGCCCGGAGAAACGGTCTGAGCCCCAGGGCCCCTCCCACGATAGGCGCTCGCCCTCCAGCTACACGACCCACCCCCAGTCTCGGGCGCTGGAATTCTGCCAAACCGCCGTTCCACTCCCTCCCGGAATCCCACGGCTTCAGTTGGGGACCCCGAAGGCCACGGAGGGGGGGACACAGCCGAGAGGAGAGGCGGAGAAAGGAGGGGATAAACACGGGAAAACACGCAGTGAGGGAGGAGCCGCTGGTGGATGCCGAAGAGCTCGGAGCACCAAAAATGTGAGTATGGGGGATCCTCCCGGAAGGGTCTCAGGCGCGCCTAGGAGCGCGATAGCCTCAGGCCCGACACTCGGAGCCCCCACCACGACACTGCCCTCCATCCTCGGGGCCCTTCCCTGGCCTACCCTTTCCCGTTCGTTTCCCAGCCGGAGATTCCCTCCTCACCCACCTTCCTAGGCACAACCCCCTACCCCCGCCAACACCATCCGGACTGGGCAGCCCAGACCCACCACCCTCGCTGACCCCTCACCTGAAACCACCAGCGCCTCGTTGGGCCCCACCGTGTGGCAGTTGCCCATGGCGCGGGCGGGACGGAGGGCCCTCAAAGACCTGGACAGCAGCAGGCAGCCCACACCAGCCCGCACGGCCAGCCGCGCCCAGCCTATCCCACCACCCCCCGCGGCGCCCCTCAGCGGCCGCAGCCGCGCCGGAAGTGTGGCCGCGGAGGGCGGGGCCGGCAGGGTGAGAAAGGCAGCAACGCGCGCGAGCCTCCGCAATCCACGCGCTTTATTGCACGCGGGTCGGGATCGTGGAGCCCAGCCCTAAAGCACCGCGGAAGGCAGTCCTCTGCCCGACGGGTCTCCTCAGTAACAACCGCCCTACCCTGCCTTACCTCGCAGCACCGATCTTTCAGTAGCCGGCCCTGGAACTGGACTGCCTGGGTCCACATCTTAGCTGTGAGACCTTGAGCCAGTCCCTTACTACTGCCTAACCCTGTTTCTGTAAAACGGGGATAATTTAACTACCTAGCTACATGGTTGCAAAGGACCCAGTTTAGTAATTCTCCGTGTTAGCAGTAAATCAAATTACCAATTCCCAGGCCCTCATCCGGAGTTGATCAGCATCAGTAAGGGTGCGGCCTGGAAATATGAACAGTGGCATATCACACACACACCCCCTCTCAAACTTGGCTTACTGTCATTCTTAGGAAGAAAAAATTACCCATTATTTACTTCCACTAGGAAAAGAGCTGTCCCCAGTCATACCTTGAAGCCTCAGAAAGTAACCACGGAGGTAAAAATTGTATACTCCTCAATGGCCATGGACTGGCACACAGCTCAAGTATTCAAGGGCCACCAAGTGCCACAGAAAGCATCCCAGCCTAGGAGTTAGGAAGCTTGGGGCTCAGGTTCAGCTTTAAACCAAATTCAGTGCATGACAGACAAGTCTGGTGAGCTCTGAGGGCTGGGGTAGGGTTCAGAAACTGGGCTTCTCAGGGTGGGGACTGCTCTGGTGGTGTCCCTGGGTCCTCAGGCCGGGGATCTTCATCAGATTCAGCATCCTCCCCTGGCCCAAGCCCTGCCAGCCTTTTGCTGGCCTCCCACAGCCGGTGAGCTGCCCGGTCGTCTCTGGCAGCTGGAAGCACCTCTTCCACATGGCAGTTGGCAAAGTATCTCCCACTGAGGGGCTCAATGCCCTCCTGCAGAGCGCAGTACAGGGGGGTCTGGGCACCCCCTCCTGGTGCCCGGAGCACCAGCCAAGCCAGTGGGCACAAAAGTGGGCGCAGCCATCTGGGAACATGGCGCAGGAACAGCTCGGAGTTCACAGGCCCTGTGGACAGGAGAAAGGAAGGAGTGGGGAGGACAGTGGGTGAGGGCCAGGGGTAAAGGCAGTGAAAACAGGGAGAGAAGGGAGTGGGGAAACAGAATCCAGTTTCAGGGAGAACAGGGTATTATATATTGGGCATTCGGGGTCCCCAGAAGGGGATCTCACTCATTTCAACAGGAAGCCTCTTTTTCCTCCACCCAAACTCCTTGTACATCCCCATCTCCCAGATTTTGCTCATGCTGTATCCCCTGTGGTAAAATTCTGTCTCTTTCCATCTTCTAGCCAAGTCCTTTTCCTTTCTTTAACCAACAAACATTTATTAACACACATGATAGACCAGCCTATCTTTTGGGCATTAGAGATACGGAGTGTAATAAAGGCCTGATAAAGATTAGTTGTGTCCTGGCCTGGTGTGGCTTAGTGGATTGAGCACCGGCCTGGGAACCAAAGGGTCATGGGTTTGATTCCCAATCAGGGCATGTGCCTGGGGTTGCAAGCCAGGTCCCCAGTAGGGGGAGGCGAGAGGCAACCACACATTGATGTTTCTTTCCCTTTCTCTGTCCCTTCCTTCCCCTCTCTCTAAAAATAAATAAATAAAATCTTTTTAAAAAAGATTAGTTGTGATTATTATAATTATGAATGGGCCATAGGCAATGACTACCTAAAATGTGGTATGCTAACATGGGTAGGGCAGGTTTTATTATCCTGTAGCCTATTCCCAAAAGGCAGGGATGGATCTTATGACCCAGCCCATCTCTATAATGCACCTCTTGCCACTTTCCTGCTTTCACTGTCTTCTAACTACACCAGACTCCCTGGTCTTTCTCAAGCAAACTAGACACTTCTGCCTCAGGGCTTTTGTAATTGCTATTTGTTCTGTTCTTCACACACTTCTCCCCAGAAAGCCACGTGGCTCATTCTCTCATTTCCTTTAGGCCTCTATTAAAATATCACCGTTTCAGAGGTCTTCCTTGATTGCCATAGATAAAATAGCACCCACTCATTTCATATTCCCCTTAACCTATTTTATCTTTCTTCATAGCACTTTATCACCACCTGCCATTGTATATTTTTATTAGCCATCTCTCCCTGTCCTAAACTAGAATGTAAGGACTACAAGGATAGAGTCTTTGTTGTTTTGTTAACCGACATATTCCTAGCACTGAGATAAATATATGGTACATAATACGGTACTCAGTAAATGCTTCTTGAATGAGTAATCATTAGCTATCATCATTATCATCATATTATAGTCAGTTTAGTCATATGGATGACTCCTTGGGGTGAGAAACTGTGCCTTATTCACGGCCATACTCTACCCAATAATCAGCATCTAAGCTTGTGGTGTAAGAACAAGAATCCAGACAGAGAGCCTGGTTCCAAAATCATGCTTGAACCATGCTTCCTTCCTGCTCCGAGATTCTGTAACTCAGTGAGAGGCTGGGGGAGCACAGGATGGGTTAAGAATAGGAGAGAGGGAATCAAAGCAAGGCAGAGCAGCCAAAGAGCCAGGCCTCACCTGGGTGAGCCGCATAGCAGGTGACTCCAGTGCCCTCAAGCTGAGTGGCGAGCTCCCGGGCAAACAACACATTGGCCAGTTTACTATCAGCATACGCCCGCAGCTCCTGCCGCCAGCCCACCACCGGGCGGTCCAGGTGTGTGAAGTCGAGGTGCCCTCGCCGGTGGGCAGCTGAGGATACCACCACCACACGGCTGGGGGCACATGTCTTCAACCGGGGTAGCAGCAGATGTGTCAGCAGGAAGGGGCCAATGTGGTTCACTCGTAGCAGCAGGTTAAAGGGCTCACGGGTCCGGCCACAGGAACTGATCCCTGGGGCAGGGACTAGGTGTGAGCAATTACTCTGGAGAGATCCCTGTAAGCCTTGGTGGCCCCATCGGTGAGATGGTGGTAGGGGGCATCCTTCCCACATGTCCACTGGCTCCCAGCAATGCCTGGCTGGAGAGGACGGCTGCCTCCAGCCACCCACCACCCCCCTGCAGGGCCTGCTGCCCCTCACCGGCGTTGTGGATGAGGATGTCCAGCCGCGGCTCAGAGCTCAGGAAAGCAGTAGCAAAGGCCCGCACAGAGGCCAGACTGGTCAAGTCCAAGGCCATGAAGATAACCTCATTGTTCCCACTCTCCTGTGGAGCAGCAAGGGCTGGGCTTATTAACAGACAACTCTCTCCTCTCCTCTCTTCCCAGGCACTAAATTCCAAGGGTCTACCTCCTCCTCCTACTAAGATCTGTCCCTATGCATTAGAATGACATGGATAAGAGCCATGGGTGTCCAACCTTTTGGTGTCTCTGGGCCACACTGGAAGAAGAATTGTCTTGGGCCACACATTAGATACATTGCGACATGTAATCACAAAAACAATCTCATAGTGCTTTAAGTAAATTCACAATTTTGTGTTGGGCTGCATTCGTAGCCATCCTGGGCTGCATGTGGCCCATGGGCCATGTGTTGGACACCCCTGGTAGACTCTGGATTTAGGTTTAACTATGCCTTTTACTGGAGTGTGACCTTGGTCAAGATACTTAATCTCTGGGCCTCAGTTCTCTCACTGTGAAATGGGAAGCATAATAATAGCGCCTTATCTCATAGAGCTGTTGTGAGAATTAAATGAGTTAATATATGTAAAATACTTAGAACATTCCCTGGCACACAGCACTATGCAGTTACTTGCTATTATTATTACCGGCCCCTCTGTCTTACCCTAAAACCTACAAGAGACTTCTCACTAGTCTCCTTTCACCCACTCTTTCCCTCTCCAGTCTAGGCACCACACAGACATCAAAGGTTGGTTCCAAAAGGCTATTCTGACAGTCCAGAGCCTGCTGAGGGCTCTTCATTGGATCTTCACTGCCCATCCTATAAAATCGGAGTTCTTCAGTAAGATCTATACGGGCCTCCTGAACCTGGCCCTGACCCCTTCATTTTGCTTCTTTCCCTCATACTCCAGCATCATTAACAGCCCCCCCCCCCAACTTCCTTAAATTAGACTAGCTTCCTTGTCTCAGGGCCTTCGCATATGCTGTCCTCCCTCCCCCCTTCCCTTCCTCACTGTCTTTCAATAATGTAACGTCTACCGATCCTTCAACGTCTTTAGAACAGCAATTAACTTCCTTCAGGGAAGTCCATTCCCCAGCTTGGGTCTGCTGTCCCTTCCCTGTGTGTGACTAGAACACCTGTGCATTCCCACTTCCCTACTTAACGAACTGAGCCGCACTCTCCTCTCAGGGACTGGATCCCCCGGAGACACCGCTCATCCCTCTGTGTCTCGGCGTCTCTGTCCTCTTTGCACCGTCCCATCCGCCTCTCCCATCCCGCACCTGGCGGAGGTCGAAGGCGGCCGCCTCTCCGCGCTCCCGGCTCCTGCAGGCCAGCACCACACGCGCTCCCCGGCGCGCTAGTTCCAGCGCAGTCATCTTCCCGATGCCGCTGTTGGCGCCTGCGGAAGGCGGGAGGGAGCCTAGCTGAGACAGGAGGGCCACCGCCGCCACCGCGCCGGCCTCCCCTCCATCCGCCCGCCCGTACTCACCCGTGACCACGGCCGTGCGGCCCCGCAGGCTCAAGATGCCGCCGCACCGAGGGGCCTTCACCAGGTTGTAGTAGATAAGCACGTAGGCGCCTAGCAGCAACCCCGCGCCCAGCAGCAGTGTCTCCATGCCGGCCGCGCCTCCGTGATCCCGCCCAGGCCCCGCGCCGCCCTGGATCGGCACCCGGTAGCTGCAGATCCGCCCCGCACAGGCCTGGAAAGTCACTGGGCGCCCCTGGATCTCCGGAAGGTGGAGGTGGAGGCTGAGGCCGGCGGGAGACAGAACAGAGGTGTGTGTGCGTGCGTGTGAGCGTGGGCCCTGCTAGCGCCCCCTAGGCGTGCGTCTGCGTCCTCTGGATGTGTGCTTGTGTGAACACCTTCTAGGTGCGTGTGTACATTTGGGCCCTGGGAGCGCCCTCTAGATGTGTGCCTGCGTGAACTCGTTCTAGATGCGTGTATGTGTGCACCAGCACCCCGGGAGTGCCCTCTAGGTCTGTACATGCATCCACATACCGTTTGTGTGATTTTTTTTTTTTTTTTTTGTATATAATGTGCCCATAGGCCCTGGGATCACCCTTCGTGCTTCTGGATTCTCTGTGTGTGAATCGTTTATGTGTTTGTGTCCATGTCGCTGAGAGCCCCTCCAGGGGTGTACATGCATCCCTAGTCTCTGCATATATGTTCTTGAACATTAAATGTATCTGTCCTTTTTGTGGTGCCCTATAGCTGAGGACTTGAAGGAGGGGCTAATGAAGGGTGCATGAGCCCTCTGGGTGCCAGTAGGTAGCAGTATTCTTCCTTTCTGGAGAGGTGTGTGTACATGAATGCTCTTGTGTCTGAGTTCTGTCCTGCATACCTTGCCCTCCATAAGCAAGTTCTTCCATTCCTATCCTGACAACCTGCCCTGAGCTGCTAGGATTCTTCCCACAGAGTCCAAGGTGACATAGTGTGTTCAGCATGGCACCATCAGTTAAGAGATGTCAGGATTCACTTTCACTTAGCTGTATCTCCATGCCTCTGTTCCTCAGCTTTTCCATTTCTGAATGGGAGCAGGAAGAGGAGTGTTTTATGTTTATCTCACTTCCAGGAGGAAATTGTGTGGGATGGTTCTCACAGGTGGTAGAAATGGTGAAGCTCCATCATTCAATGGAAGAAGTGACTATGGGTGGGAACAGCCCATGAGGCAAGGGTAAGAGTATTCCCGGCCAGGTGGCTTGCCAGAAGGTAAGGACCCTGCCTGAGAAATCCAGTACAATTCAGCATCCTTTGTTTGTCACTTATGGTGTGCCCAGCAGTGTGGTTAGCCTTGGAGATTGGAGCAAGGAGTTCAAGAGGCCCTTAAGGGCAAGGGGAAAACTAGGCAGATAGGGAGACTAGCAGGACAGACCTCGGATTCCTGGGGAAGTTCCCTATTTAGCTGCATGGTAGATTCATGGCTCAATTGTAGATGCTGTGGGGTGAGGCTGGGGATGGAATGTATTAAGGAAACCAATGCATTCTCCATGTCCAAGGCAAAATTCTGACAGATCATCAGATACCACCTACCTGAAGAGTGCTGGGATACAGACAGGTGCTTTCTAGCTAATGAATTGAAGGCAGTCTTCAGGAAAAAACTTCCCAGATAGTTTCTCATATAAAGTCTTTGAGGATTAAAGGATGGAATTTAGTTTAATGAGGGCTCACTCAGGGCCTTAGGGTTAAGGTAATGCACTAGACTTGTCTTCTGGGGAGTTGTATTGTAGAGAAGTGGTGATTCAAGTCGTATAACCTGTGGCACATCTGGGTTGACTGGGTATCTCTTTTTTCTTCATGGTGTTCCCCAAGGCATCTGAATCAAGAACTTGCTCCACACTAGATTCTAAGCTCCTAGAAGCAGGGGCTGTATTTGCCTGGTTGACTGCTCATGGCAAGTCAACAAGATCCAAGTCCTAGGGAGGGCCAGACACAGAGGAGGGTCAAGTGGTACTCGAATAAATGACTTGCTCCATGCCCAGCTAAGGCTGACACGGAAAGGACAAAACCAGGTGGTGACTTTCCTCAGAATAGATGAATAAAATGATAACAAATAACTGGAACCAAAGGCAGCCCCAACTCCTCAGGTTAAATCTTCTAGACCAGAATGCCGAGATCTTATGCCAGCTCATTTTAATGTCTTGATTTTGGAGCCAATAGGAGCAGGGATCTGCACACCCTTGGAATCTTGTGGACTCTCATCATGTCAAATGATCATACCCTCTCAACTCCCTTGAGTCACCCACAAAGCCATACAACAGCTCCCCTTAGCAGATGCACCTCTACCCTCCCATTTCCCCCCATCCACCTGAGGCTGTTTTCTCCGACATCTCGCCTCTCCAGACTTCCCTTCGGGCATGACTTGTTCAGTGAGACTGGGACCGAGATCTTGGGAAGGGTCCCTTTCAAGGGTGATGACAGGTAGGACAGACAGGCAGAAAACATAATTTGAAGTATTTTTGTTTTTTTTATATACAGAATACAGGAAAGTTTCTGTAAAGTCTAAAACATTACAATTACTATGTACATTGGTACTAGTTGTGGGGTGGGAGGAGAGGAGGGAACCAGGGGTGGGAAAAGGAGAGAAGTGGCAAGAGAACAAAAAAAGGAGACACAACAGGTTTACGACAAAAACATTTTTGCTACAATAGACAATTTGAAGAAAACGCTCTACCACATGTAGTACTGTACACAGTTTTTAAAAACATTGAAAAAATGTCATCACTAGATGTATTTACACAAAATCCAAATACACTTTTCCTTATTTGAAATAAAATAGATGGACAGCCAGAAAAAGGATTCATTTCTCATTTGTCCATAATACACAGTAGCTACCTGTAGTGCAACCGCTGCAGAAAGGGAAAATAACTTGGAGGGTGGGAACCATGGAAGAAGGGTGGGTAGCGATCTTTATATTAAATAAAACAATGATATTGTATAGATTTTGCTGTATGAAAACTGTATTTTTTCTTTTAATATAAAACTATTGTCACTGCCACAAAATAGAACAAGTTTCTGATTATTTTACAACGGCGGGCGAGGGGGAGGGAGCAGGTGGGTGGGGAATGGTTTTGTGTTGGAGGAAGTGTCCAGACCATTGGCCTTCCCCTCCCTGCCCACACTGTTCCTCAGCTCGGGTCTGCCGCTTTCCCATGAAATGTTGAGTACAAATATATGTGCAAATGCCCCCTAGAACTTGAGAAAAGAAAAAGGATTTTTAAAAAACAGTCAAAAGGTTTTCTTCATGTCATGCAAAGATTGTAGTTGAAGGGTTTCTGGTGGAGTATAGAAAAAACCCGGGCTTGGTTTTTGTACATTTTTGCATTGCAGGAGTCTTGGGTTGGGTGGACAGGCGGGTGATGGGGTGGCCGCCGGTCCTAGGGAACGGAGTTGGAGCGCAGCACAGGGCCCTGGTGGGGCTTAAGAGAGAGCTTCTCTGCCAAGACCCCATCTTGCAGCAGGCTGGCATCACCTTTGGGCTGTTTGGTCGCAAACTCAGTGATACTAAAGACAAACTGCAGACACCCCAGCTTGATGTAGCTGCCGTGGTGCAGTAAGGCTGTGCCTTCCCAGCCGGCCCCACTGCCCCCAATCAAGCTTGAGCTGCTGGCTTTGCAGTTGCAGGGTCTTCGCTGTGGCCCCTGGGCCTGGGAACTCATCATGGCTGCCTCCTCACTTGGCTCTTCATTCTGTTTCTGGTGCCGGCGGCGCCCTAGGGAAAAAAAGAAGATGGTCACTGGAGAGGAATAGTGAGTAGCCCAACCATCCGGGGGTAGCTGCCCCTCCCTGTTTTAAGTGCTACATCGCTGAGGTAAGGGATGCTCAGAAAGATTGGTGGAGTCTGAAGTCTCCCAATAGGCATGTACACATAAATGGGTGCATAGCCCTTGCTTCTCTGTGGCCTTCCCTGGGCCCAGGAGTAAGAACCTGATCAACAGGACCAGGAAGGCAAGAGACAGCACATCACTTGCCATAAGCCAGAGCCACCCTGACCAGGGCCTTAGAAAATATGCCCAAAAATGGCAAGCCTTGTGGCCAGAAGCATCTGCTCCAACTTACTGATGACACTCTGCACTTTGGCAACAATACTGCTTGGAGGGGTTGGCGGGGTCTTCTCAGAGAAGTCACATGAATACAGCACATTGTCCACCGTTGTCCCGTGCTCACTGTAGTTTAACAGCTCATAATGTTTGGTATTCTGAGGAGGAGGAGGGAAGATAAGATGTGTGGTCTGCTGCGTGGGGCCTGAGGCTAAGGGGAGAGAGGACATATGGAGAAGGCTGTGCTGCTCTACCTGGGGAGCTTGCTTTCTTCCCCAGCTGTGTCTCCCTTCTCTGTACCTTTTGAATAGGGCTCAAGATTCACCTCCTCAGGGAAGCCTTCCTTCTTAGATCCCCTCCCCCTACTCTTTAATTCTGTCTCCTCAGCACTGGCACATAGGATGATGAAACTCACAGGGTTGCACTGAGGACTTGGCTTCCTTTTAAGTTGCGCCCCTTCCCTGCTTTAGCCCTCCCCCCACCCACTGAGCCTGTGATCAACCTCAGGAGCTATGGTAGCCCTGCTCCTGGGGAGAAGGTAGCCATGGCAGAATGCCCTTTTCACACCAAGACACTCCCGCTCCCTTTTCCCAGGGAGGGAAGAAAAGGAGAGAATCCCCAACCCTCCTCCCCTCACCCAGGGCACTGAACAAAAACTTACTGCCTGTGAGAGGCCTCAGGTTGGGAGAAGCTCCCTCCCACCCTGCCAACACCCCTCACCTCATCGTAGAATATGCAGGCGTGTTTCCCGGACACGTAGTTACAGTGACCATAGTTTGTAAGGCACACGTCCATGTCAGCTCCTGCAAGGTGGCAGGAATAGAGGATAAGGTGGGCAGAGAACAGATTGTAATGTGTATGTGCAGGGGAAGTGGGGGGAAAGAGGTTAGCCTCTGGGTAGGCAGTAGGAGACCTTCTGGGACAGATTGTTCAGGGTCCCCTCCTTGTAATTTTGAACTAATTCGATGTCTTTTCCACCTTCTTGCTAAAGAACAGTGGTCGCTGCCAGCTGATCTGCTTTAGCACATGTGGCTGCTGTTCACAGGGGATTAGTGAACTAGTGAAGAGGCTGGGGTAT